GATACCCGCAAGTATTACGCAACCCCAGAACTATTTCTCCTCGTCGCCTCTTTTACAGATGCTCGCGCGCAGAGTAAATTCCGGCGCGTCAGACCTCTTGATCGAACATTATAACTCCAATGGCAGCGGGCTGAGCTTTCTGCTTCCATCCATGGCCACCGTTTGGGAAAAGATCTCCAGGGCTGGCGTTGAAATATCAAGGGTCTACAAACATCTGTGCGTTGATGAATTGAGTTTGCGCGTGCTGTCGTTTGGATCATCGTACAAGTCTGCCTCGTCAGTTGTGGGTCAAGAAATGCATGGGGCCCAAGCGGAGTCGGCCGACCGTTCGGCTTTTCATGCTGCGCATGCAATGATCGCCGACGAAGTCCCGGCGTCGTGCAAGCCAGGGCATAGCGAGGGCGCGCGCGAGCTTTCCCCCCCTCATGAGGGCCAACGCAACCCTTGATCAGAGGCGCGAGGCTCAACTCATTATGTTTGACACGCCCGACGCATGGAATTCGGTCGAGGCCAAAATGGCGCCCCCGAGTCTCACATGCGTTGGCGGCGACCCGCTGCACGCCTGCAGCTTGTTCAAGAAGGCGGCCCGTTGCCACAAGATGCCAAGAAGATCGCTATCACAGTCAACGGGAAGCCTTCGACTAGTTTGAACAAGAAACATTATTTTGATATCCCCCAGCCAAGCGCGCATCACACACTTTCAAGTGACGTTCGGCTTGCCGAGCTTCGCAGAGCGCGCGGGCGGTTGCAGAATTCGGGCTACCAGGCAAATGCATACAACAACTATCGCAATGTTGCGCTGACGTCTCGGCGCGAATGCACCGGCATGCGCAGTCCTGCAAACGGCCGCCAACGTGGTGCGTTGAATTCGCGAAAGTTGCGATGCGAGGTAACGCTAGACTCGTCCACGAGAATGTTTCACGTTTGGGTGAGTTCTTCCATTGCACATGTAGACAATAACTCCTTCGAGCAATGTCGAAAGAAAAAGCTGCATCTTGCCACTGCCATTCCATGGCTGCGCCGCGGCGCCAACTTCTACAGAGGCTTGCTCGGGTCCCGAATGCTCCAACGTCGGCCGAGTGGAACGACGCCAAAGATCAGGCGACGAGCAGTAAAAAAACGCAAGCGTGTCACCCGCCCTGCGCCGATTAAGCGCCGAAGGCGCTGACATTTTTCATTGCGCTGCAAGGCATCTTACCTCGTGTTCCACGCCCTTCTTCATCATTTTGCGTACTTGAAACATGTTTCGTAGCACCACGAGCAGTGCATCGCCCACTCCACATCGCACAGTATCACGTAGTGCACGATCGTGTATCGCGCTTCCCCTATGAATGCAAACATTGCATGTGCACCGCGGTCAAGCTCTTGCTTCGCATTGTAGCAGCCGTGGCATCGCCTTGTTATGTGATGGGATCGTCGCGCAACTCAAACATAAACTATCGTGTTCAGGTTAACTATACGAATCAGAAACCTACACGCCGAAACACACAAACTAAGTCCCGCACGGGGGGGGGCCTCCCTTTAGAATTGTGTGGGGGGGTCAAACCCAGTGGGGGATACGACGACGACGACGACGGCAACGAGGGGAGGGGAGGGCAAAGGTGAAGGAAACCGACAAAAACGAGGAGGAAGAGAAGAAGAAGGCGGATGAGGAGGTGGAGGAACAGCAGCAGCAACAACAACAAGAGGATGACGAAGCGGCCAAAACAAAACTAACAAAACACAGCACGTATGATTGCTTGATGGGGAGGCCGGGGGGACAAGAGAAGGCCCAGAAATATTAAGAACACCCGCAACCGTGAGTCGCGGGCCATGGAAAACTCGCGCCGCGGGGGGCCCTTCATCGCAGTTGCGGCTGGAAGCCTTAGCGCAGGAAAGGCGGACGCAACCAATGGCCATGATAACGCCCGCTGGTGACCGTCATGCGGTCATTGGCTACCCGAAGAGCTCACAGGACGTCGAGATGGCGATGGCGGACCAGGCGTTGGAGTTCACGCCCTTCGAAAAGTAGCCCTCGCAGTCGAAACTGGTCTGTCCATGGGGGTGCTGCGTGCCCTGGACGTCGTCGTCGCGGAGGCTGCTGAAGCGGGTGGCGCTTGGACCGCCTGGGTTGCCATCCTCGCGTCGTTCACTCGATCGGGCGCGCGGGCCAGGACGGTGACGGTGACCGTTGTGGATGTGGCGCACGCAGAGTAGGAAGAGGAGGAGGAGGAGGAGGAGGAGGAGGAGAAGAAGCAGCAGGAGGGGACAGAGGAAGGATGAGAAGGATAATGAAGGAGGAAGAATGATGAGTAACATGGGGGGGCCAGGGGGGAAGGGCGAAGGCGAGGAGGAGGAGGCGGAAAAGGAGGAGGAAAAGGATACGGACGAGGAACCGAGAGGGGACAACGATGACACGATGTCACAGATAGCGGAAGGCGAAAGGACGAAGACAGGAGGGAGCAGGATAGGGGCGACGCCGACGACGACATCAGACATGATACCGATGACCACATCTAAAGCCAAGGAAGAGACGAACGAGCCGTAGCAACAGCAGAAACAAGACGCGGAAGGCGGTAAAGACCAGGAGAAACAAGAGGCGGAACGAAACTATGTCAGAGTGAGGGTGCCGAGCGGCCACCCACTCACCTTCTCATTAAATATAAGACCAGATCCACTGACAACTCGTTTGGCAAAAACCATTGAGTTTAGTCCTGAGGTCGCAACTGCAACGTGCCGACCTGCGTTGAAAGATATGCGATGTCAACCCTGACACCATCGCCAGCCCCGAATCAAGGCTCTCGCATTGACGCTGCTCTCGCGCCGTGCGCAACGCGGACGGACTATGCGTTGTTCTTGGTGGCCCACTACTTTGTTTCGCGCGCGCCTTGCCCGTCGCACGCACGCGCGCCTCGCGCTTCGCCCGCAGCGAGCGCGCGCGCGCATCTCCAGCGCGCGCCAATCACGCCACGCGCCATGCGCGCGCGCGAAGACATCAGCGCGCGCGCGGAATCCCATCGTGGGCGCGAGCCTTGCGTGCGCGCGGCCCGGGCGACGACACATCGCCCGACCAAGCCGCGTGACAAAATTGCCCCGTGGTCAACATTCCACTGGCCATCGCTCGGACGTCCATTCCCTGTGTTTTTTTCGGTTTCGTGCGTGGTTTTTTTGCCAAATGATCAAGGATGCTCCTCGATGGTCCTCGCCGAAAGAAAAACGCACACGTCCGAGCGATGCCAGGCCCCCCAGAATTTACCATGCGAGCGGCGCTTCCGCAACTTGTCTTGCACGCCTTCCAGAAGCATTTTTTGTCGTCGCCGCTCCCGATTTTTTGTCGCGGCGCTGCGCCGCCGGCGGACGTTGGCTTCCGCCGCCCTCTTGTTGCCGTTGGTAGTTGTTTTTTTGTCATTTGAAGTAGTCGTCGGCCTCCCTTTGTTGTGCTGCTGGCCTTTTTTATGGTCGGCCCTTTGGGCGTCGTCTATTCTTGTTGGTGCCCTTCACGGCCAGATTCAGAAATCTACCGGGGCCCTTCAACATGTTTGTTGCCCCTCGCGGCAGGATCCACCTTCCATACGTTTCACGTTTCGCGCGTCCCCATCACCCGGACTGTAAACGATGCCCAGGCGTTGCTAATGTAAGTTCAATCCTTGGTCCTCGCCCACCCCCTTGAAAGACCGCGCGCAACCACTGGGGGGGGCTCAACGCTACCAGCATCTGAGACGCGTGATGGGCGCCGCGGCTTCATTCATAACAAAAAATGATCACTGAGTGTTTGTCGTTCGTCGCTTTGTGATCTCATGGAAATAGACGGATTGAGTTCAATGTCCCTAGGTGCGTAACTGCAATGGGGTTCCGCGGTGCGGATTGTTGTTGCGTTGTTGTTTGTTCTTGCTGTCGTCGTTCCACTCGCGACCCGGCCCACGACCCACCCGCGACCCGCTCGCGACCCACCCGCGACCCACCAGCAACCAACGCGCGAAACTCCCGCGACCCACCCGCGATCCATCCGCGACCCACCCCGCGACCCACCCGCGATCCACTTTCGACCCACCCGCGACCCACCCTCGACCCACCCGCGACCCACCTCGCAACCGCCTCATCACTCTTACCCGCAAAAGCGGGGGTGCTACATACGGTGACAAGTCCTCCTCCTCATCCTCCTCGTCCTCCTCCTTCTCCTCATATTCATCCTCCTCCTCCTCCTCCTTCTCCTCCTCGTAGTCCTCCCCAGCGCTCCTCTCATCGTAAGTATCCTGATTAGCCTCCTCCTCCTCCTCCTTCTCTTCCTCCCTCTCCTCCTCCGCCTCCTCATGCTCCTCCTCTTCTTCCTCCTCCTGAATCGTCGAAACCATCACCCACCTCATCCCTCCTTCCAATCTTCTCTCAATTTTTCCATGACTCCCTTTCGCCACCGCCCTCCATTATCACAATCACCATCATCAACCGTCCTACCTCATCCTGCCTCCATTGGCCCACCTCCCGCGTCCACCCTGCCCCCCGCCCCCTCCGAACCATCAATCCACCTTCCTCAGTCCTACTTTGCCTTTCTCCTCCTCGACAGTCTCAGCTTCTGGTTCCTCCATCTCTTCCTCCTCCTAAGTACCAGCATCACCCGCTCTCAGCGTTCACCTCCCTCCTCTTCTGCTACTTGCCCTCTTCCTGCCCCCCATAGCCCATGTCACCATAGCCCTTCCTCCTCAAGCATCTGCTCGCTCGACTTGCATCCTCCCCCTCCTCGACCTCCTCCCCCTCCGCCTCCGCTTCCGTTTCCTCTTCCGCCTCCTCCTCCTTCTCCCCCTCCCCCTGCCCCTCCTCCTCCCGCTCCTCCTCTTCCTCCTCATCCTCCTCCTCCTTCTCCTTCGCCTCCTCCTCCTCTTCTTCCTCCTCTGTCTCCTCTTCCTCCCTTTCCTCCTCGACCTCCTCATGCTCCTCCTCTTCTTCCTCCTCCTCCTGCGAAGGAGGAGGAGGAGGTGGAGGAGGAGGAACCACCCCTTCCCAGACAATCGCGAGCCGAGGATGGCCTGCTCCAGCCCCCGCTCGTCCATCCTGCTGTGGCCAAGCCCCAGGAAGCGCAGCGATGGCGTCTTCTCGCAGGTGATCTGCCCGACGACCACGACGATAATCGTGTCGCCGCCGACGCCGCAATCACCGCTAGTCGTCGCCAGCGTGGTCGCGGTCGGCGTCGGCATCATCAGCATCGTAGGCATCGTCTTAGCAGCCACATCAGCACCAGCATCAGCACCAGCACCAACATCATCATCACCATCATCATCATCATCATCAGCAGCATCATCATCACATCATCCGCATCAGCATTATCAGCATCATCAGCATCATTAGCATCATCACCATAATCAAATGCATCAGCATCACCAGCAGCAGCAACAACAGCATCGTCATCATCAGCAGCATCTTCATCATCATCAACATCGTCAATATCGTCATCCTCAGCAGCAGCAACATCATCAACCGCATCATCGGAATCCGCAGCATCACCATCATCAGCATCACCGTCAGCATCGTCATCAGCGGCATCACCATCATCACCGTCCCATCGGCATCACCATCATAATCAGCAACACCATCGGTAACATCATCACTGTAACCATCAGCATCATCAGCATCATCACCGTCATCATCAATTGCATCATCACCATCGTTAGCATTACCATCGTCATCATCAGCCGTACCATCCTCATCATCAGCAGCATCCTAAACATCACCAACAGCAGCAACATTAACAGTAACAGCATCATCAGCATCAGCATGTTCGCAAACAGCATCACCATCACCGTTAACATGTTCGGCATCATCATCACCACCATCATCATCAGCAGCATCATCAGCATAATCAGCATCATCAATATCACCATCACCATAATCATTAGCATCACCGTCACCTCCGTCAGCGTCAGCATCAGCATCAGCATCAGCATCATCATCATCATCATCATCATCATCATCATCATCATCATCATCATCATCATCATCATCGGCATCAGCAACCTCTCCAGCATGATCATCACCAACAACATCAACACCAATATCATAATCATCATCCGCATCGCCACCAGTAGCTACCAGCAGTGGCGCAGGTATGACAGACGCCTCCTCCCACCGCTCGGCTTCGGACACTCTGCCTGCGCATGCAGCGCCAGACGCTTTACCGACGGGGAGGCCCCAGATAATGAGCATCACGACTACGGCAGCTGAGGATGCGGCCGCCGCGTGTGTACACAAGTGTGAAGGGGCCCCAGGACACACAAATAAATACACACAAATAAACATACTCCCTAGATTTTCCCATAATTTCTGGGCTTCTGCCTTCCGGCCCACTTCCCATATTTTCCTATATTTTCTGGGGAATCGAGCATTAGTTGTGTCTGTGTGTTTCTTCTCCTCCTGAGAGCGTGCCTCCCCCCCAGCCTGCTCCGAGAGGCAGCGCAGCGCAGCCCCCCCATGCGCCAGCACGCCGCGAGCGCTGCCCCAGAGCGGGGCAGTCCGAAGCCTCCGGGTTCCCTGCGAGAGACCAGAACTGTTTCACTTTAAACCTGAAGCCTGTTCAGGTTGGTCGAGACGTCGAGGAATAAGTATCATCATCACTATCATCATCATTACAACCATCATCATCGTCATCATCAGCGTCGTCATCGTGGTCATCCTCACCATCACCATCACAACCACTATCACCATCACCATTACCATGAGCATCAGCATCATGACCATCACCATCATGACCATCGCCATCAACATCACCATCACCATCCCCCCCACCACACACCCACCACCAGCAACCACAGCATCTCTATCAATAGAATGATCCTTGTCGTCGCCGCTATCACGACGAGCCACCATCCACCACATCGCCACATTGCTCCTACTCCTCCTCGCCTTCGCCTTCTCCCCCTCCCCCTCCCCCCTTCCCCCTCCCCCTCCCCGTCCTCCCCCTTTCTCCTGATCCCTCCTCCCTCATCACCTCCCTACCCACACCGCAGGCCATCCCCCCTCCCTTCCCCATGCTCCCTCCTCCACCCCCCGTCCTCCCTTGTATCCTCCCTTGTATCCTCGTCCTCCCGTGTATCCTCCCTTGTATCCTCCATTATATCCTCCCTTGTATCCCCCCCTCGTCCTCCCTTGTGTCCTCCCCCTCCCTCCCCTGGCGCTGGAGCAGGGAGAGGGCCGAGGCGGGCCAGCAAGCAGCCGCAGGGGGAGAGGCGGTCCTTCCGCCCCTCTGCCGGCCTCCAGACAGCTCTTCTCCCCTCCTCCTCCTCCTCCTCCTCCTCCTCCTCCTCCTCCTCCTCCTCCTCCTCCTCCTCCTCCTCATCGTCTTCTTCTTGTTATTATTATTATGTTCCCTCCTCCTCCTCATCATCATCTTCCTCCTCCTTCTCCGCCTCCTCCTCCTCCTCCTCCTCCTCCTCCTCCTCCTCCTCCTCCTCCTCCTCCTCCTCCCCTGGGCTCGCCCTGCTGATGCTGCTGCTGTACGCGTGCAGGATCTGCAGGTTGGGCGGTAGCGCACTGATCTGCGACAGGAGGCTCCCCGAGATGTCCTCGTCGTCGCCGTCGGGGGGTGGGAATGTGGGGGAAGGGTTGGGAGGGAGGAGGGACCAAGACATGCTCGCGCCGTGAAGAAACAGCCTGACGAAGAACCCAGCCATATGCAGGTGTGAGTAACGTCGTTGTGAGTATCGCCTTCGGTGGATCTCCGTCTAGGGCCAGGAAGCGCGTGAAGGTTGTGCCGAAATGAGGCGGAGCCGTCATGCGGGCGCTGCCAGTAGTGCCATCTTCCCTATGGGCCAACGAAGCGTGTGCGGGGTGTGCCGAAATGTGAGAAAGTGGACGCATGCGGGCTGCGCCACTGGGACCTTCGGTGGAGCTCCCATATGGGGCCAACGTGTGAGAGGTGTGCCGAATTGAGTGGCGGGGACGCGCCACTGGAAACATCGGTGGAGCTACTTGTGGGGCCACAAAGCGTGTGAGAGGTGTGCCGAAATGAATGACGGGGACGCATGCGGGCTGCGCCACTAGGACCGTCGGTGGAGCTCCTCGTGGGGCCACGAAACGTGTGAGGGTGCGCCGAACTAGATGGCGGGGACGCATGCGGGCTGCGCCACTGGGACCTTCGGAGGAGCTCCCATATGGGGCTACGGACACGTGTGAGTGGGTGCTTACATGGGTGACGGGGAACCATGCGAGCTGCGCCACTGAGACCTTCGGTTCAGCTCCCTGTGGGGCCACGAAACGTGAGAGGTTGTGCCAGAATGGGTGGCGGGGGCGCATGCGGGCCCTCCACTGGGACCTTCGGTGGAGCCACCGACGGAGAGGGAACCAAACGTGTGAGGGATATGTCGAAGCTGATCGCGGAAATCGTGACGGTCATAACGGCAACGGTGACGACGACGACGACGACGACAACCACGACGACGACGACAGTAAGGATTCGGCTGATTATGACGACGCTGATGATGCTGCTGATGACGATGATTATGATGATAATGATGATGGTGATGCTGATGACTATGGTTATAATGGTGATGGTGATGATGGTAATGACGACGATGATGATGGTGGTGTTGAGGATAATTTTGGCGATGATGGGGGTGATGGTGATGCTGCTGATGATGATGATGATAATGATGATGACCATGATGATGACGATGATGATGACGACGATGATGATGATGCTGATGATGATGATGATGGTAATGGTGATGGTACTGATGGTGATGATGATGGTGGTGATGATTATGCTGCTGCTGATGATGGTGATGATCATGATGACGATGATGATGATGATGCTGCTGCTGCTGATGATGATGATGATGATGACTAAGGATGATGTTGATGTTGATGATGATGATGATGATGATGATGATGATGATGATGATGATGATGATGATGATGACGATGACGATGATGATGATGGGAGGAAGGAGGAGGGGGCAGCGCTGTCTCTTCAAAACAAGGACCCAACACCACAAGATGGTTGGGAACAAAACGGCTTGATTGGGGGAGAGCTCGGGCTGCGGGCCTCGCCGGACCCTGGAACCGTTGAAAAAACACTCGAAATGAAAAACCGGCCCTGGAGAAAAGGCCTGGACTTCCAGGGGCACCGTAATGAAACTTATCCTGGCGAAGGGCCCAACCAGATGCAGCTGTGAGCACCGTCGTTGCGGGTATCGCCTTCGGGTGATCTCCCAATGGGGGCATGAAGCATGCGAAGGGTGTGCCGATGTGGGGCGGGGCCGCCATGTGGGCGCTGCCACTGGGGCTTTGCGCGGAACCCACTATGGGGCTGCAAAGCGTGTCAGGAGTGCGCCGCAACGGGGCGGGGCCGCGACTGGGGCCTTCGGCGGAGCTCCCTCTGGGGCCACGAAACGCTGTACTGGGTGGGGGAAACGCATGCGGACACAGCCACTGGGGCATTCGGTGGAGTTCCCTTTGGAGCCACTAAGCGCTGTGCTGGGTGGGGGGATCGCATGCGAGTGCAGCAACTGAGGACTTCGGTGGAGCTCACTATGGAGCCACGCAGCGCTGTACAGGGTGGGAGAACTGCATGCGGACACCGCCCCCGGAGCCTTCGGTGGAGCTCCCTATGGGGCCCCTACGCGCTGTACTGGGCAGGGGGCCCGCATGCGAGAGCAGCCACTGGGGCCTTCGGTGGAGCTCCTTATGGGCCACGAAGCGCTGTACTGCGCGGGGGGCCCGCATGCGAGGGCAGCCACTAGGCCCTGCGGTGGAGCCCCCTTTGGGCCAAGAAAAGCTGTACTGGGTGGGGGTCCCGCATGCGAGTGCAGCCTCTCGGGTCTTCGGTGGAGCTCACCATGGGGCCACGAAGCGCTGTACTGGGTGGGGGACGCGTATGCGAGAGCAGCCACTGGCGCATCCGGTGGAGCTCCCGATGGGGCCACGAAGCGCTGCTCTGGGCGGGGGGAGTTGCATGCGAGAGCAGCCACTAGGGCCTTCGGTAGAGCTCCCTATGGGGCCAAGAAGCGCTGTGCTGGGGGGGGGGGCCGCATGCGAGAGCAGCCACCAGGGCCTTCGGTGGAGCTTCCCATGAGGCCACGAAACGCTGCACTTGATGGGGGGGAACGCATGCGAGTGCAGCCAGCAGAGCTTTCGGTGGGGCTCCCTATGGGGCCACGAAGCGCTCCACGGGGTGGGGGAAACGCATGCGAGTGAAGCCACTGGCGCCTTGGGTTGGGTTGAGTTCCCTATGGGGCCACGAAATGCTGTACTGGCTGGGGCTCCCGCATGCGAGAGCAGCCACTGGGGACTTCGGTGGAGCTCCCTATGGAGCCACGAAGCGCTGTATGTACTGTGTGGGGGTCCCGCATGCGAGTGCAGCCACTGGGGCCTTCGGTGGCGCTCACTATGGGGCCACGACGCGCTGTACTGGGCGAGGGCCCCGCATTCACGATGGGGCCACGAAACGTTGTACTGGGTGGGGGACGCGTATGCGAGAGCAGCCACTGGCGCCTTCGGTCGAACGCCCCATGGGGCCACGCAGCGCTGTTCTGGGCGGGGGTCCCGCATGCGAGAGCAGCCACTGAGGCCCTCGGTAGAACTCCCTTATGGGGCCACGAAGCGCTGTACTGGGTGGGGGTCCCGCATGCGAGAGCAGCCACTGGAGCCTTCGGTGGAGCTCCTTATGAGGCCTCGAAACGCTGTACTGGGTGGGGGGCGCAGATTGATGAGGGCGGAGGCAAGGAGGGGGAGGAGGGAGGAAGGAGGAGGAGTAGGAGGAGACGTGGGGCGCTGTCTCTTCAAAACGAGGACCCAACAACACAGGATGTTTGCGAAAAATCTAAAAATCGCATGTCTGCAGGTAGAGGCACGGTGGAGGGAGGATGAGAAGGAGGAGGGAGAGACAAGGAGGAGGACGACAACGACGAGGAGGAGGCGGAGGAGGAGAAACTGGAGGTGAAGGAGCAGAAGGACCAAACCAGACCAGAACTCGTAAGATCCGATGGTCGGAGTGGCTCTCCGGCTGGGAGGCTAACCAATAAAACAGCTGACCGGCTCTTGAAGGAGAGAGGAGGCATGCTGCGGAGCTCGCGGGCGAGCTCTTCCTGCAGGCCGTGGCACTCCTGCACCAGTATGAAGGAGTTGCCTTGCATGTGCTGCTTCAAAACCGCCAGCTTGCGATTGCGCTGTCGGCGCCTGCTGTGGAGCAGGCCCCAGGCGTTCCAGCTCACCGCCTGGCACGTCTGTGCGCCTTCGGTCACGTCCCGCTGGGCCCATGGGTCAAAGGCTCAACTGCTCCGCCGCCCAGGTCGCAAACGTCTCCTCGAATGTGCTCTTGATGCGAGACTTGTCGATGAGCTGGTCGGCAACGAAGCGATTCTGCCACTGAAGGACGGTGGGCTCACTGGCTGCTGGGAATTCGACGCGGACAAGCGATGTGCCGTCGAGGAGCACTTCGCCATCATCCTTGCGGTAAGCCCACGAGCCGGCGTTGGGGTAGAGCTCCTCGCACATACGCTTAACGCGCTTTGACTAAATCTCGGTGCGGAGCTTCTTGGGCGAGCGGTCGGCGTTGACGTACGTGGACTCCACCATGTTGCCGTTGCCGTGCGCCGCCGCCGAAAACGATCGCCAGCCGTTCTCGCTCCTGAGCTGCTCCACCAAAGCGGTCGATCTGCGATGGTGGATCTCCACACCACCAATGAGGTGCATCATGAACTTGCGGCCAGGTGCTCCATCGATGAGCCTCATGGCTTCTTATGGGACCCCGGGACTCCGGCGGCCTGTGGCCACGGGGCGACTCCTGAGCGGACGGCCTCTGGGGAGGAAATGTCGGCGCACTGGATGTGGAAGAGATTCGCCCTGGGTTTGCGGTCCCATTCGCGGAGGCCAGCGGCATCCATGATAATGAAAGATCTCGGCCGTGGCCCTGGCGAGGGTGGCGTTGATCTGCTTGACCTGTTCCAGGGCGGTGGCGACGTCGGCCTCCGACTTGGCGATACGCTGCGTGAGCGCGGCGACGTTCCGATCCATGGCGCTGAGGCGTTGCCGTTGCTGCTCTGAAGTCTCGCAGACCAGACGGGCCGCGGCGCGGGTGGCCGCGGCCTCGGACTCCGCCTTAGCGAACGCAGCGAGCTCCTCCTTCGCCTCTTCCAGGATCTGTTTGCTGCTGAGGAGCACAGTGTCCATAGCGGACTGCACCCAGACCTCCCACGTCATGAAATTTTCAAGACGTCGACCCCCAGAGGACTGAACCCCTTCCCCGGGACCGGCTGCTCATCCTGAGCCGTTGCTTGACAGTCCTGGGGCCTGGTAACGGTCCCCAGAGGCCGAAAATAGCGAAAGACCTCCCCCTGGCCATCGCTCGGACGTCCATTCCCTCTGTCTTTGTTCGGTGTCGTGCGTGGTTTTTTCGCCAATTGATCAAGGATGCTCCTCGATGGTCCTCGCCGAAGGAAAAATGCACACGTCCGAGCGATGCCAAGCCCGTTGTGATTCTTACAACGCGAGGGGGTTTGGGCAGGACGCCCTCGACGCCACCGATCCCCTTGCCGGGCCCCTGGCCGGGTCCTTTGGCAGCCGC